CCTAGCCACATAGGATCAAGTTAGCTAATTTTGTCTGTAATAATTACCTATTAAATAAATAAATAAAAATAAGAGTATTTTTATATCATTACAAATTCTTTTTTTTTTTTACATTTCGTCGTACTGAATCTTGCATATTTATATGAATAAGTATATTTCATAGTATTCTTGAGAGTTTTCCCAACTTTCCTTTTCTGTGTTCAAATCTCGAAACGTCAGTTTTCATCCTCGAATTGTTCTCTCTCAATTTCCAGAGCAAAGAATGTCTTAAACTTCTTTTGGAAAATTTCGTTTCAAATTATACAGAATAGAGATGTTTCTCTGTGCATTTTACAAACATGTTTTATCGTGGGAGGTAATGGCGATCTTTCCCATTTCAATGACCAGATCCCACGTCGATCTCCCGCCAGCTTGAGGGGATATTCCTCAACCAGGTATCTCCAACCAGCATGGCACCGCCCCAGCCGGGACAACCTGTAAGCCCCCAACTGGTCTCCCGACAAATGTGATAGTGTAGTGTATGAGAGTGTAAGTGTAAGTGTAAGTAAGGGGTGAGGACAGAAGGAAGAGGAAGGAATGATCGCGCTCTGTCCGTGGTCTGTTTCTTAGGTTACTGCTCCGGCCTTCTGGCAGGGTTACTTAGATTACTGATTCGCCTGGTAGCTAGTCACAAATCAGCTACCATCATAACTCAGAACCCTAGAACCTCGCGGTCACAGTTGCTGAACTGGCAACAATTGTTGTTCTGAACCAACTCTGTCGGTTTCAAGCCACTAGTTGAAAATAAAGACCAAATATCCTTGTCCTCCTGCTGATTAAAAGAAATATTTAATGTATAATTATTTTTAGAGTAGATCAAACAAATATCGGAAACAACCATCAAATGTCATTTCATTTTCTTTGTATTCTTCTATATATTTTACCGGGAGAGGTGGCACAAGGCATCGACTGTGTCACCGTAGTGCCTCTGACCGGTTCATCCTAAGGTTCCACTCCCGGCGGTGGCAGGGTTTTCCACACCAGCTACATAGCTAGGTCGAGTTCTGGAGGAGAATCCTAGCGGCCGGCTGCTCTGATCGGTAGTATTCCGTGGTTTCTCCGATCAACACCAGGTGAATGCCCGAGCAGTGCCCCAATAAACGGGCCACGGACCGCGCGCGATCACTCCTTCCCCTCCCTTGTCCTATTTCACCCCTTACTTACACACACACAGACATGCATTACACTACCATACATGCCAGGAGAGCGGCCGAGATCTTAGAGCTGTCCTGGCTGGGGCGGTGGCCCGCTGGTGAGAGATTCCTGGCAGGGGAAAACTGCTGGCAAACGGTAGGTCGGCCGCGGATCTCGGCATTCTGCGTAGGAAGATCACGGCCACCTTCGAGGGGAAATATGCGAACTTATGGGACGAATAACCGTAACAGTTGACGCGCTCGGAATCACTAGCAATCAATCAATCAATCAATTAATCCTGAATACTTCAGTAGCTTCTCAATCACTCACCTTCGTTCGTGCCATTCATCAAAAACCATCGACTTGAAAAATCCCAGCCAGATTCGCAGGCAGCTTTGATGTTATAATAAAATTCCTCTTCCTTGTCTGCTGGAAATTTGCTTCCTATGTCATAATCCTCTCTGTAACAAAATTCTCGTTAACAAAATGAGTGAATAGAACAGCATACGATACCTTACATTTCCGGAAGTACTTGGTGTGTTTAACTCGTTTAACATTAACTATGATTTTTAGAGCAAAACAATATTGTATTTTATACCAGTGTTAACTCTAGTAACTAGTAGCGAAAAACAATCGAGTGTTCTAAGAATCGACAAGAATCTATATGAGAATTGTCTTGAATTAAACTATTGTTACTGTTGTTTCAGTATCATCAAAACGCGTTTCAGGTAATGAATGCATGGGGCAGAAAGTAAAAGGTGTTTAGCAGCTTCTGCTTCTGATTGCTTCGTTTACTGAGTGAAAAAAAGCGAATTACAAAATAAACATAATCTCTCAAAATTGGTAACATGTCTGGTTTAGTAAACGATATTTATGAACAGATTTTTCTTTCTGGCAACCTACTTACGTAGTACATAGAAAGTATTATAACACTGCAGCAAAACGGTAATTTTCGATAGACATACTGGTATTGTGAGATCCTGATATCAAAAAGAGGAAAAGTGAACAAATTTTCGTCCTACGTATAGTAAATTACTGCTTCTTACTTATGTACTCTGTATTCATGTTGACTGGATTTTTGATACTAAAAAAATAGATGACGGCAAATCGCCTGTCGGTCCGTCCGTGTGCTACGCTAGAGCCAAAAGTGTTCAGAAGATTCTCTCCAAAACTGATTTCTCCTATCGATCTGGTCAGATTACGAATTTGAAACGAATATTTTGATTTTGGGGGATTATTTACAAAAAGTCTTGTCAATGTTTTTAAAACTTTCCCAGACTACATCAATAATCAAAGAAATGGCTGCACATTTATTTGATTACTTTTTTCTCTACATAAAGATAACTCTACTTAAAAATATATCAGAACGCACTATCGTTGATCTGTCTGAATTTTAAAAAATTGGTAAAGTTCACACAATTTTTTCGGCGTATTCTACCACTAACTTTGAAGATAGAACTTTTTTATTTAATGAAATCTGTTCTTCAAACTCAGTTCTGGAAAATCGATCAGGATCAATTTTGCAAAGTATGAGTATTTTTTGCCTAATTTTGAGTGAAATATAGACTATTTCCAAAAAAATTGTCAGTAAGGGTCAAATTGATATTTTATCTGGAATGGAGCAAAGTACAGGTATAAATGTAGCGTAGGTTCTATTTTCAGTGAAAACTCTGTATTTTTGAAAATTGCAAGACATAAACATTGCAAAATGTCCATATGGACGATAGACATTTTGTTTCGTTGTAATGATATATCTTCTAAAATCTTTGATCTTTCAATAAACAGTAAAGACATTTTCAATTTTTGAAAAACGAGTAATTTTCAACTAAGTTTTGCTTGTAGTAAAGGCAATTTTATCATCATTTTCTCAAATTGAACCAATTTTGTTTCTTTAAATTACCTTTTTTATTTATTTAAAAGATAATTATTACGCTTATAAATTAAATAACACGATATTCTGGCTTGGCCGAAGGCTTTTAAGCCATTACAATACCCACATCCTGCCGTGCTCTAACCTTTCGAATTCTGGTATTCACCCCAAATGGTCTCTCCATCGCACCAAAGCCGCGCAAGAGAGACAATAAGATAGAGCTGGGGAAAAAACCCCTGAAGGGGAAAAACCTGCCGAGAGACAGAAGCTGAGTACATGCTAATCCACCACACATTATCTAAGCTATTTATTTATTTCCTGGTGCGGACGTCACGCAGTCTTTGGCCTCCTCAGCACCTGAAATCAAACAGCTCCACAGCAGATTGTCCGCACCAACGCCTCTGCACTTACATTTGGGCAACCCTCTCCTCTTTGGCCCCTAATGTTCTTATTTAATTATTGACAGTTTCATTTTTTTAAATTTTTATTTACTTATTATTAAACTGCTGACTACGACTGATGGATTGTTTTCTTAGCAGTTTACTAACCTAAATTACTGATTAACTTATTCATTGTTCGCTTATTAACTTATTTATTTCCTTTACAGTCTAAGCTCCGCTCATACTAACCCGTGCTGTTTTCCCCCTCCCTAATTTCCGTTTCCCTAATGGTCCGAACCATTCCTAGAAATGTTTCTAATTCTTTCATGAAGTGAGACCTTTTATCACCTAATATATTCTGGGCGAGCGTTTCTATGATTCTAGTTCTACGTTTCTACGATCCCATCCCATTCTTCCATTTTTCCCATTCCCATCCATTTTCGTCTCCATGTTTCGAACTTTAAATTATTTCTCGTATAAAACAAAGTACCATATAAAATGGCGCAATATCCATATTCATTGAACTTTTTGTACAATGAAAAACTGGCAACAATAACATTGAAAACCTGATAACGATTATGATGATGATGAAATAAGATTTTTTACGTAATGAATTATGTTCTTCTAAAATATATCTTTAAATAACGTTACATTCATTTTTTTGAAAATATAAGTAATTTCGCGAAATCTAAATTGCAAATTCCAATTTCCCACGTATCTTTTGATGAATGTGCTACTCTTGATGAATTATTCTGCTGCGGGGTATCAGGTCGCAATACGACAATGGAAAACCGGAACACGGCAGTTTGAAATTCTCGAAAACACTTCTCATTGTTAGTTAATATTTCTGGCTGTATGGGACGCAGTTTTGTATTATCAAATTTGTGTTCAGGTATTAGTTTTAAAATATTTAATTTTCGCACATAATGCATTACAATTTCTAAAGATTTGTACAAGTGATGGTTGCGATTTGTTAATATAGACAGAAGTTGCCTTATTATGTTAACTAAACGTTAGTATGCGAGATAGTACGTGCTGTTGAAGCGCCAGTAGTTTTTCAAGGTTTCTAATTTCCATCATTAATTGTAGTATATTTGATTGCCCTGACTCCAGAGAAAGATGTGTGATCTTATAAGAAGCAGTGGACGTCTCAGTCTCCTGAATTGAAAACCGGTTTGTCTGCTCCAAGAGGACCCGACATCCGTTCGCATATTCCGAGTTGCTGAGTGGCTGCGGAAAAGCGAGCAGTAGCAGCTTTAGATTTGCGCAAGGGTTGATCGATATTCGTCATATATTTACGAAAATAGATTGTCACGAAATGCAAATCTTTGATTCATTGGGATCCCAGGACGCCCGAGGCCTTCTGTTTTCCGGGTAGATGCTCTGTTCTATTGATCTACGGAATTACACATTGCAAACGCGACAATGTAACGTCATTCCATTCCGATTGCTTCGTGTACATAAGTATCTAGTCACTGTGATAACGAGAAAGAGATTAATATATTATGTCTTACATAATGTATGAATTGTTTCGTGTTTGTATTGTATGCGTGTGTTTCTTATGACGTTCTCTGCCTGTGGAATTGTAGATGATCGATACCACAGGGATTTTGAACAAAGTAAGTTTGTTGTCAACCTTGACGGGGTGATAATTATTTGTATATAAACAAGATCAGTATATTGCGTAAATAAACAAGAAATGTTTTCTGGAGAGGGAATGGCGGAATGTCATTATGTACCCAATTCTGGAGGGTTCAAAATGATTAGTACGACTTACGGCGCCTCTAGCGGGTATTTTAATGTTACAGAGTACTACAGCACAAAATATTTTATTTTTTTACTGATACGTTATAGTAGTTCTACCAGCTAAGTTCTTGGCCAACAAAAGTGGTTGATCTTGGCACAAAATCTAACCAAGAAAAAAAACTAACACTTCCGTCGCATATTGTGATTTATACGCTTTCTTTTTCTCCTTCTATATCTATATAGATATACTCTATATAGATGATTCTTCCAAATCATCTATCTCTCTCACTATATATATATATATATATATATATATATATATATATATATATATATACATATATAAAGTATGCGAAAGTGGAATCGAAAAGATAAAAATATGACAAAAATACAAAAAAAGAATGGAAAAATACAACCATACTCGTATTATGCAATTTTTTCGGAATATGACCAAAGGGTTAAAAAAAGTCAAAATATGACAATATATGACACGTGAAAATTGCATAATTTTATTCATTATAGATACAATATGTTTAACTTACATTTTCCATTAAGATATCACAAAGAAAATTGGAATTATTAATTGGAT